CCCGTGCCCCCCCGTCCCTCTGGCTGGGCTGGCCTGGCTCTGGCTCCTGCCCCGACACAATGCCACTCATTCAGGTGAGCCACGCTGCAGCCCTTGCATGAAGGCTGGAAATTTATGACTTGCCTTAAATGTCACCTTTTCAACTCCGTGCCTTGGCTCAGCAACCTTTGAAGCAAACATTAGCAAACGACTGGCGTTTTTCAAAGGGGAAAAAAAAAAAAAAAAAGAAAAAAAGGAAAAAGCTGTCCCTTCCAAGATAAATAAGCGCTCTCGCAATAAACGGCATGAAAAGGCTCGCATTCAGAACTGGCAGAAAATACCTGCAGTCAGCGATGACGTCATCCACCAGCTGGGCACCCAGGGCGTCCAGCTCGCTCGGCGAGCGGTTGGCCTTGAGAGCCAGTTGGACCTTCTCCAGGTTTGCTTCCTGCACGAGAGGTGGGGAAGAGGAGCTGCACAGCGGGGAACCCCCCGGCGCCCTGCTCCACCCCGCATCCAGGACCCTCCCAATGAGTGCCTGGGGCTGCTCCCCGTGATCAGAAACTCCAGCCTGGGTCCCACCGGGGCTCTGCACCTGCGTTTTTGCTCCTGTTGGAGCTCCAGGGGAAACAACAGTGAAATACGGCAAGAAATCCCGTAAATAGCTCAGGAGCTGAAGAAAGGTCCTTGCCTCCTGCGCCTGCATCAGTAGGCAGGTGGGTGGCACGGCAAAGCACTGCGTTCACACCCCACTGTCACCCCAGTGGGGATGAGGGTGGTCCCTTTCCCTCCATCACTCCACGGGCTGAGCAGGGCACCACCCGGGACACCGACAGATTTCCCCTCCACAGCACAAGAGTCATCAAACCCCAAACCTGACCCAGCCTGGAGGTGGCCTCTGTCCCCTCCCTGTCCCCCCGGGGCAGGATGCAGAAAGGAGGTGGACGATGCTCCTTGCCACCGCGGCACTCACCAGCCTGTCTGCTGCGTGGTGGAGAAGGTTTTGGGCATCAGTGCGATAGCTGATATCCTCCCAGTAGGATGACAACACCACCACGGGCTTCACGTTGCCCCAGGGCAGGTAGTAATATTGACAACCTGGAGGGCACAGCACACTGGTGAGCTCATGATATTGGGGTGACAGGGGACCCCACTCCTCAGGACTGGAGCAGAGATGAAGGGGGGCAGTGCAGCATTTGGCCTTGGGCAGAAGCCCATCTCTGGGGCTCTTTTGGAGCAAGAGGATGGGAATTACGTTCCCCAAACCCACATGCAACAGAGCAGTGCACACCAAGGTCCAAAGGGATGTGCGTCAACCTCCACAGCTGCAGCAGCTCCTGCAGAGCAGTGAGGCCAGAAACCAGCAGAACAAACCCAGTGGGGTGAGGACATCTCACACCAGAATGAGAGCCCCACAGGAGCCAGGGAAAGGCCACCCCGAAGCACTGGCTCTTCCTTGAAGAGAAACGGGCACTGTTAGTGCTGAGGTGCTGCCCAAAAACCACTTCAAGCCAGCACAGAGCTGAGAGAAGTAGTCCTGGCTTCTCCACTCCTCCCCAGTCACATATTCCCCCTTCACAGCATGGTTGAGGTCTCCAAGGATGGAGACTCCACACCCTCCCCGGGCAGCCCATCCCAGTGCTCGGTCACCCCCGTGTTGCTCACCGTCAAAGACAGCCCGGCTGTACTGCGTGGTGGAGGCCAAGGGCAGGCAGGTGTTGTCAAATTTGTTGCCGTAGTTGCCAATGCTGACCTCAAACTGGATGGCGTCGTCCACGTCTTGGAGCATGGTGGCCGAGTAGAAGGCAGCGAAGAGGGAGTACTTCCGACGGCGCAGGTACTTCTGCAACAGGCACAGGACCGTGTCCGCAGAGAAGACACCACCACCGCTCTCCGACACACAGACCCTCTACTACCCCCGCGCACACCAGCTCAGTGAGGCCTCCGAGATGGAAAAGTTTATTGCAGGGAAGAAAAGCATATGTTGCAGCAGGGGAATTTTGGGCGAGATATTTAGGAAAAACCTGACAAAGGAGAAGGCTAGAACTTTCCATAAAAAATGCAGCTTAAGCCTGAAGAAACGAGCAAAAGGAGCACATCCGCGGTAGCGCTCGAGCTGGGATTGGGGTCCTGTTGAAGCAAATCTCCCACCCCTCCATGTTCACCATGGTCTGCTCTCTACCATGCAGCAGCTCAGACGGAGCAAGCTGGACACCCTGGGATGGAAACACAGCAGGAGACACCCTCCAGGAGCTCACCGACCACTCCACCGCTCACGGGACATCACCCACCCAGGACCAACACCCACGCCCCTTCCCTAGTGCCCCACATGCCGTGCCGCCGGAGGGACGACCCCGGAGTCCACGGGACCCCGCAGAGACCCCGTTACCTCCACCCGCAGGATGTCATCCGCAGAAATGTCCTCCACCTTCTGCTCCACGTGCTCCACCAGTTTGGTCTCCAGCTCCACCAGCATCCTGCCACGATACGCGACTCCCTCGCCCTTGGGGTAGACCAGGGACAGGCGTCAGGACCCCGGTGATCCCTCCCCGCAGCTCTGCCTTTGCTTTCAGCGGGCTTCATTGCAGAGGAGCAAGACCAGGCAAAGTATTTCTGCAAGCGCTTCAAAGGTAGAGTGTTTGGGCAGCAGAGCAATATCAGGAGGTGTTTAGCCAGCGGGAATAGCCAGGGGCAGAAAACGCAGCGCAGGCTCCTAATAACAAAGCCAGTTTGGGTTAATAGCAGCTTTCTTTTGGCAAGGAGGGGCGGTAGTTTAGTTTTGGTTGTGCTGGAAAGAAGCCGACGTCACCTTTCCTAAATTGAGCGTCTCGTAAGGGTCGGGGAAGCCGGTGAACTCCCGGGGGCTGCCGTAGAGGTTGATATAGCAGGGACCGAAGGTCGGCAGGAACCCGAGCCCATCGTCAGCTGGGGACCGTGGGGGAAAAGAGCTGTTAAAAGAGTCCCGAAGGCACCTCGGGGACGTGTCCCGCGGGGCTTCGCTGCAGGACCATGGGGACCACACGCATGCGGCTGGAGGCCACCAAAATGCTGCAGTTTTTCACCCCCTTTGAGTCCTACGACAGCTTACCTTTTTGCAGGAGAAAGACAAGGTGGGTGTGGGGCTGTGCGGGGGGGGCACAGAGCTTCCTGGTCCCAGAGAGCATCGCTTTGCTGGTGTGAGCCAGCGGGGGGGATTTACACCAGCCGAGGAGCTGGCCCCCTGCTCCCCTTAAGGCAGTAAGAGAGTGCTCGGAAGAGAAGGGCTCATTTTTAGGAAACCTCAAGCAGAAGGAAGAGCGAAGGGGCAGAAATCGTTTGCAGGGTCCTGCTCTGAGCTCCTGAGCTAGCTGCTCCTCTGCACAGCTGGCTCAGCACGCAACACACACTTGAGACCACAAAGGCATCGCTGCCCAGCATGGGCACCCCAAACCCGCTGTGGGGAAGGGCGGTGGAGCCCTTTCGCCGCTCCTGCAGGGCAGGGGGAGGCCGTGCTGGCACCGTCCCCGCTTCCCACCAAGGTGCCCAGGCACGACGCAGCCGATGCTCCCCCAGCCGCAGCCAGCGCTCCAGCCCTGACGGCAGCTGAACCAGCAAAACAATTACCAAGCGGTGATTGCAAACCGAGAGGCTAAGGGGACGTACGGTCTGCGGCTTTCAGAGGCTTCGCGAGAGCAGGAAACTCATCTGAGGCACAAAGAAATGGAGAGAGGTTAGGAAAGGCTGGCAGAAGAGCGCGAGGGGAGGATGGAGGGTTATGAAAACAAGGGTGGGTGTTCTCATGGGCTTTCGGTGTCAACAGGCACTGGAGAGACAGAGAGAGAAAGGGGGAGGTTGTTGAATAGCCCTATCGTCCTTCCCGGAGGCTGTGGGATTGGTGTGAAACAGGAGGATTTGAGAATCCCTGAAGGATGCTCTGCGTGTTGCAAAAGTTGGACGGGCCCATGGGGCGGGTGGGAGCCGCGGTTCCCCGGTGCCTCCTCGGGAGCCAGCAGGTCTCAGTGGTGGGGTGGGGTATGCCAGTCCCAGGCAGACCCCTCACAGCCTCCTCCTCCCTCCCCAGCCTCTCTCTCTCTCTCTCCAGACCAGCCCAGGAGCTGCACTTTAACTGGGAAAGATGGGGGCTGGACAGACAAGCACCCCGGTGGAGAACAGTGCTGCACCCCAACTCCGTACCCTGCACGCAAGGCCAT